GGCAAGCCAAAGCCAGGAGCCTGGAACTCCATCCGGGTCTCCATGAGTGGCAGGGGCCCAGTGCCTGGTCCACTTCTGCTGCTTTTCCAGCACATGAGGGGCCAGCATTTTGGTACAGTGGGTTAAACCACTGCCTGCAGCATCAGCATCCCAAATGGACCTGATTCGAGTACCAGCTACTCCACCTCCGATCCAGCCCCTCCTAATGGCCTGGGAAAGTAGCAGAAGTGTCGCAAGTATGGAGCCCCTGCCACCCACAATGGGAGACCCAATTGGAATTCCAGCTCTGGCTCAGCCTGGCCCAGCTCCAGCTGTTGGGGCCATTTGGAGTGTGAACCAGCAGATGGAAGATCTCTCTCTGTAACTCTACCTTTCAAATAAATAAATAATATTAAAAAAAAAAAAAAAGTGAAGTGACCAAGCTAGTTCAACTCTGATCCTTAAGTAATTTTAAGCTCAGCTCTCAAACAGCTATGCAGTAGCCAAGTCCAGTGAGTCTCTCAGTTATAGCCCCTGTACGAGAAGAATGTGACTCAGTTGTTTAGTGAGACAGACTTCGCCATCTTGATAGAAGGCAGCTGCCAGTTCTGTGTCCTGTCAGTCCAGATGCTTCCTTTGAAAGGATTGACTGCTTGTCTTTTGCTCGGCGTTGCCCTTACCTTCAATTCACACTGTGGGGAGCAATCCGGACTGGACTGAGTTACTGGAATTAAGACTTGTTTTCTATGCCTGCTCTCCACAATATGGCGCTGGGAGAGAATAAACAGCTTCCGCCAGCTGCCTCCAGTTCAACCAATAAACTGTAGGACTTGCTCCTGATTGGAGAGCAGCGTACTCGGCATGTGGGCAGCCGAGTTGGGATTGGTGGAAGAGACTATAAAGGAGGAGAGAGACAACATGCACCAGAACATCTAAGGGAACATCTGAAGGAACACCTGTGCAGCCCCGAGAGAGCCGGCCGGCGGTGTGCCGCTCCCCTGCGGAAGTGGGGATGTGGCCAGGGGGAACTGCCCTTCCACGGAGGTGGAAGGGATAGTAGCCAACCCGGGAAGAACCAGCAGCAAACCCCGGGGAGGGCCGAGCAGACAAAAGAACAGCGCAGGGTCCTGTGTCGTTCCCCCATGAAGACGGGGAGCGACATCACACTATCTTTTTCCAAATAACAACCAAACCACAATCCTGAAAGACATCTCTGCCTTTGCTTCTTTGGTGGTTCCTTCTTCTTGCCAACTTGAATCCTTCTTCCTATTTCCCCTTCCCTATGCAGTTTTTCCTATTCTTTAGGGCCTATCTGAAGTCCCAACTCTTCGGGAAATTTTCCCTTGACTTTGGCCTTGTTCAGTTTGGCATTCAGTTGTATTCTACACATTCTACATTACACAGTTGGAATCTCACATTTATGCCTTTGTGTGGATGGAGTCCTTGAGGGCAAGGATCATCCCTCTTACCGCTCCAGTACCACATGCAGCTTATCCCTCCCCGCCTTGCCAGCATGAGTGCTCAAGTGAGGATTGACCTGAGTCTGTTGTCATTGTTATGGTCATTTCTGCCTCATCTCAGTCAAGATGTTGACTTCAGTAACCAACACAACTCATTTTAGGAGGCCCCAGATAGTTCTGAGATTGTCTAGGAAAGATCTTTTTTCACTTTGTGAAACCAGAAGCATCTCTTTCCACTTTGCCAATATTTTTCCTTGTCTTCAACAGGTTGCACATTAAATGGCCAAGAGGTAAGATTCACTGTCCACTATGAAAATGGGTTCACTATCTCCAGGGAAGATGCAGGCGCCAGCAGCATACTATACCGCTACCCCTTTGAGAGGCTGAAAATGTCTGCTGATGACGGCATCAGGAATCTGTATCTGGATTTCGGTGGCCCTGAGGGAGAACTGGTGAGGTTTCTGAAAGACACGTTTGTACTAACAGACATTCTCTTCTCATTTCTTCTTATGTCTTACATAGAACATCATGATCCAGCATTTCTTCTGGATCCAGGAAATTCTTTTCGAGATGTCATTGAGTGTAGGTGTTTTGTTTAAAAAAAAAAAAAGTTTTGTTTTTGTTAGGAAGAAAAAACAGCCCCTCAAGAAACAGGTTTTTATTTTAAAAGTAAGATGTAAAATAAGAAAGCTGGCAAACTGTAATAGATTCTTTCCATTGCTCTTATCAGCAGTTCGCTGGGCTGAGGGTTAAGAGTGATTGAGTGACTTGTCTGCTACAGAAGTCTGCCGATTAAGAGAAAGGAAACATCCACACAGCTATCAGCTTTTTTTTGACTCCCTTGTCCTTTAAAGGAAATATCAACAGAAAGTCACGATTCCTCCCAGAGGGACTAAAGCAATATATCAAGTATACTACAGAAATCATAAATTACGAAAAAAGAGAAGAATACCTTACCTTTGTTACCAGTTTTGTCAGTATCTCCAGTCTTACCATACATGAAATCTTATGTCCACTGACAAAACCACTGGAGATGGGAACTTGACAACAGTAATGTAATTGAATCTCCAAATGAGAAAGCTATGGCTGACCATCTTACTATAGACAAGAGAGGTGGAGACACAGAGAAGTCTTCCATCCTCTGGTTCACTCCCCACATGGCCTCAATGGCCAGAGCTGGGGCTATCAAAAGCCAGGAAGCCAGGAGCTTCTTCTGGGTCTCCTGTGTGAGTACAGGGGCCCAAGCAGTTAGGCCGTCTTCCACTGCTTTCCCAGGCCATAAGCAGAGAGCTGGATTGGAAGAGGAGCAGCCAAGACACAAACCAGCACCCATATAGGATGCCAGCACTGCAGACAGTGCTTAACCCACCGCACCGGCCCCTAAAAATCTGACTGTGAATGCTGAACCCTTTAGGAGACTAAGGACAGACCATAGTGCAGGGCTTTTCAGCAGCCTGAGACATTAGTGAGAGGTAAATCCTTCTCTCTATTAAATTAGCCGTTAGTACTATCGGTTGCCATTTAGCAAGCAAGGTGTTAGGTTATTTCTATTTGTGCATTTTAACCCTGCTGTATATTTAATATATACAGTTTAGCAATAACTAGTGCTCTGTCACTTATGTTTCTAATTAATGTTTTCCTTTAAAAGGCATATTTTTAGCCTTTTCCTGGTTTCTGTTATCAGTGCCAAGGGTGCATACAGCCTGACTCTAGCTCTCCCTGCTCGTGAGAGTGGCAGCTGTCAAGTTGGAGACCTGTGTTTAGGAAGGCATAGCTGTTCCTCCTAACAAGCCCCACCGACCATCATGCCCACCACAGATCTATCAAGAGGTTTCAGAAACCACGCCCACCAATGATCATGCTTCAGCTGCCTTCCCCAGGGAAATATAATTACAGATACAGTTAGTGGTCTCCACGTACAGTGTTCTTTGTTTCACATCTTCTGGTTCACTCCCCAAATGGCTCCAACAGCTAGGGCTGGGCCAGGCTGAATTGAAGAGCCCAGAACGCCGTCCATATCTCCCATGTGGGTGGCAAGGGTGCAGTTACTTAGACCATCTTCCACTGCTCTCCCAGGTGCACCAGCAGGGAGCTGGATCAGAAGTGGAGCAGCTAGGACTCGAACCAGTGCTCCAATATGGGATGCCAATATCACAGACAGTGGCCTAACCCGCTCACCAGAATGTTGGCCCTGGCACAGTCTTTTTGAAAGTTAGAACATCCATCTAAACTTGTTTATTTCAGATCTTTGCTTATTAAATTGTCTGTATAGGAGAGTGATAATTAATGTCCTTTCTTCACAGACCATGGACCTGCACTCCTGTCCAAAGCCGATTGTATTCGTGTTGCATACCTTCTTGTCGGCCAAAGTCACCCGCATGGGACTGCTTGTATGAGCAGCAAAAAAATCAGAAAAGAGCCTTGACTGTCAAAAGAAGTATTCTCACCTCAAAAAAGAAAAAAAAAAGCACAAAAAGAAAGCTCTTTGCTCTCCCCTCCAGCACAGTGCCTTCCCACGGACCTGCAAATCGCTGCTGAACCATACTTCTCACAACCTACCTTGGCCAGATGACCCTGATGAGCTCCAGAACGAAGCTGTTGGTCGACTGTCTTGCGGCTGCTGTGTGATTAGGCTTGTTGCTCCTGTTGAAAAGAGTGGCTGTTGTTTTTCTTGTCAGGCACCATCAAGTAGCCAAGAGCTGTTTCCTTTTTCTGCTTCCTATAGGACCTCTTGTGGGCTTAGCCGTGAGCTCTTGGTGAGGACAAACTCTCCCTTCCTAGGTGCTAGTGCGCAGCGGCCCGTTGCCTCTCGGTCATTCCAGATAGGCCACAGGGTTCGCGGGAGTTCGCTCTCCTCACCTGCTCCCTCCACCAAGGACGTCCTTGAGTCGCTTCCCCAAAGGGGTCTTCATCTGTCCTGGCTCTCACTTCATCCCACCCTGGCCATCACTTCCCAACTCCTCACCAGCTTTGCTGCTCGCGCGTGCTAACATTAGGACTTACATTTTGCAAAATTTGATTTGCCTTGCCTTCCACTCCTTTCTAGTGGTGACCAAGTTGAAAAGCAAGTTGGAAACTACTGCTTTAGAAGAAAGTTTAGCTTGATTTAGGTTTTCTGATTTTATCTTTGGTAGGAGCCAGGGTATCTTCCACGATTTATTTTAAAGAAATCCTCATTTTCGGCTAAGCCATTTCTTATTGCTGACCACATGTGCCTTTGGTTAGGGTGAGTGGAGCTTTATTAGTTACTCTTTCAGTAACTGGGTATCACTGCCATTCCAGGGAGACCCTCCCTTCTAGCTTGGAGAAACAGTCTTCGGGGTGGGATTCCTTACTGGTGGGGAAGAGCCAGCTTGCTTGAAGAGCAGGCGTGGTGGGTGAAGCCAAATCCCAGCGCGGGCATCACGGCGAGATGTTCTGAGCCCACGCGGCACCCTGGCCCTGGCCCTGGCCCTGCCTGCGGCAGCAGAGTGGCGCAGACAGACGGCTGCTGACTCAAGACCCCCTGTTGGCTTCTCTCTGGATGATCCACCTGCACTTTGCGAAGCTGTACCAGATGCGACTGTTAGGGGGCAGCAGCAATACAATTGCTGACTCTGTGGTATTGGACAATCACATGAGGCTTAGTTTTCCTAATTTTGAAGAAGGTATGTATCTCAAGAAATTTAAAATAGTGTAGTATCTGTATAAAATTTCAAGAGTAGCACAAGTCCCTAGATCTGAAAGGAAAGATACTTTTGACTTGAATGCTCTCTCTGCCCTCTGAAGAAAGCTCTAGGAATTATTGCTGTTTACTTGATCTATCAGGGATGTCATAAGATGATGTGAGCACTGTTAGGGAGCAGATGTGAGTGGCACCCCAGTTGGGGTGGGGGCTGAGAAGATGTAGCTGTGTACACTAAACCTGAGCTATTTGGGTTGTGTGCACACTGACAGGTGGGACGTGGGAGAGAGCAGACTCAGGAGCAGAGAGAGTTCTCTATCCGATGTCGGGGAGAGATGTGTGTTCTTCCCCGAGCTTCAGATAATTGTTAAAGCTCCAATGATGAATTATCTAGTTCACTTCAAAACTAGAAGTTAAAATCTAGACAAAAATTTGCCTTTTAAGAACTTTTTTGATTTGAAAATTCATAAACCTAAGATGGGTTCCATATGAGACAATTTGCAATTAAAGGAAGGAGAAAATGTCTCGAAGGTCCAGCTATGATATCTGGAAGCAGAATTTCAACAAATGATGCTGTCAGATAAGCCAGCTTGGACACTCCTTGCAGTGAGAGTATCGTTAATAAGAGGAGTCGGACAGTCCGTCCAGACTTCGGCAGCAGAGCCACTTGGCTGAGGCTTTCTGTGCTCAGGAGAAAGGCTAACACACTGGGACTTGCAGGGGAATCCTGAGCCGCCGCTCACTGGTGAGGTGGAGTCTGGAAGCCAGGTGTGGTTAAGCGGTGGGCCGGAGGGGCAGGGCGTATATGCTTCAGCTCGTTTTGCTGAGGTCCAGAGGTTTGTAATAACCTTTTGAGTCCTGGGAAATGGAAGTGTATGGGAGGTCTCTGTCCACTAGCAGCCCCAAGAGCAAGAGCCCAGCAGCTGCTTGCCTGCATCCGTGAACTGCTCTCCAGTCGAGGTGGCCAAGATTGTTCTTCAACTAGGTGTGGGGGGGGGATTTTCAAGCCACAGACGAAGTGCTTTTTAGGAATGGGACACCTTGATAAATGTGTATTTTGTATTTCCCTGCCACAACATGGCATATTATTTTCAATATAATTTTCAAACGACAAGTAAAAATGATCATTTTTATATTTCACCTCTTTTATAGAAGCAGGTAACTTTTCATTTCTTTTTCATCTTGATTTAGGAGAATTGTCAGGGCCTTTCGGGCTCCTGTGTGTCCAGTGGAGAGGAGGCTGCAGAGTGTGCCCCCTGCAGGCAGACCACCTGCTGCCCCTCCCTCCAGACCAGGTGCTCGGCTGCTTCTTCTCATACCACACAGGCGACACCACCTGGTGTCTGAAAGGCTTCCTCCTCTTTCCTGGCCATTCTCTCCCCATAAAAAAGAAAAGAAAAGGCACAAAGTTTTCTTTCTCTGCAAAAGACAGATCCGTTCCTGAAGTCATCAAACAAACCTTGTCTGAAATTGACACAAGTTGAGAATCCCTTACCTGAATGCTTAGAACCAGAAGTGTTGCAGATCCTGGGAGTGTTTCAGATTGTGGAGTACTCATATAGACTTCTCCAGCTGGGTGTTCCTAATTCAAAATCCAGCATGCTGATCACAAATGTTGGATTCCAGAGCATTTCAGATTAGAGGTGCCCGGTCTAAACCTGTTCTCTTATAGGAAGCAGTTCTTCAGTGGGTGTCTAGACAGTGCTTATTGGGTAGTTGTGACTGTAAACTCGCCTGCGTAGTAGACAGAGTTTCAGGTTAAATATTGAGACATGCACAGGCAATCAGAAATGTTACTTTAAATGTCACCCACCTCTTTGAAAGCCCTGTTTTAGCACTTTTTTAGGCTGGGGAAAGTCTGATAGGGCCTGCGTTCCGCATCTGTACTCTCACTACAAATTCCCTCACTAAAAAATATTGCATGGCAGGGGAGATTTAAGTATTTATTCTTTTTTTACCCATAGAAAATCGTTCAACCCATAAATGGCTAACATTGTTACTTAACAATGTTTTCTTAACTTCTCCTAAGCAGAATGGTAACACAGCTTTCTTCAGTTGATTAAATGCACTTAGCTGATAAACCAAAATTTATTCTTAAAAAAAAAAAAATTACGCCGTGTGGAATCCGGACAAGATTATGTTTCTCCCGGAAACAGGTTTCACTATAAATGGTTTAATGGACAAGAGGTATAAGGTAAAGGTTGCGTTTTTAAAAATTCTTTGAGAAACTCTAGGTCCTCTTGTTTAATTTATATGCATGTGGGCATATTTGTTTTCAAAACCACGGAAAAGTCTGTCCGTATTTTTAATGCAAATTACTTTGTAAGCTGCTATGCAAATTCTCTTCCCTGCCTAGTTTAAGAGTTAAACGTTGTTGAAACTTTCAGGGAAGACCTGTAGACTCAAGCACTTTGCTCTTTTGTATTCTTATCTTGGACACTTGCTTTGGATTACGCTTCTATTATTTTCACTGGTTATAAGCTATTGATTGTACATAGTATCTCAGCTCTCCAAATACCCAGCATTTCCACGTGGCCACTGTCCACAGCTGGTGCGTGAATGGAATGGCTGGTAGGAAAGCCAAAGCTCTTCTCAGTCCCTAATGAAGAAATCAAATGCCAGGTCTCGCTGGTCTCAAAGCAGATGGCTGTGGCCAGATCTGAATGTCTATGTAATGAAGAGAGACTTAGTTACATTTGGGACTTTATCTGAACTTTAAGTTTAATTAGGCTATGGTCATATTCATTCTTTTTATGCACCTTTATCAGGTATGACATTTTATGCCAGGTAGTATTAGTTACTCTACTTTGAATTTAGAAATCTCTCTCAGTTAGATCTCAGTTGTGGCTTTTCTTTTTCGTGTTGAAGGTGAAAGTAGAGGAATCTGCCATCTCCCGTGTGCTGTCTCTGTGCCCTTATTTTGACTGCTTGGTGGTAGAGTTTTGTTTCTTTTGTTTGTTTGTTTGTTTTGTTTTTACTTTAGAAACCAATAGCAGCAGTCGCCCTCCTTCCTCAGCTCTGTCTTGTGCTGTGTCGGGTGCATTGACACTCCATGGATGTGTGATGACAGACACCCCCTAAGATCATTATGCTGTGTATCGGGATCATGTATTTTTGAGCAGCATAGTTATTCCTGTGCTATAATGACATCAAGTTGAGTTTATTTTACACAAGGAGTAGACTGCCTAAGTGACTAGCTGAAACCCTTTTTCTGAAAACCAGAAACATCTGGCAGATTGATGACACCAGTTCATTCTGCTGTTAAAGGACAGAATTTCAAGTTAGGGAGAAGGTGCAATACATAGGCACGTAGTGCATCTGTTTTCCTGTCTTGTTTTTGACACTAGCTAAACTGCCACCTAGAAGAATGGTTACGTACCACAAAAGAACATTTCCACAAGATTACATCTTTTGCTTCAAGACACAACATTTGAGCTCAATTTCTTACCACCTGTATTCTTCCTTTCCAGTTGAACTGGTGACTGAACCAAAGCACATTCCAGTTTTGTAAGTGAATCCACATACAATGTAAGGCATAACTCTGCCCTTTACAAAGCATTACTTGCTCTCCAGTACACATTTGATTACATTCAACAAAAATCTACCATATGAATTGTAACCCTTGGCTTGTCCTTTTAAAATAAGATTGGTTAAAACCAAAAACCGTCAATAGAGGAATGATACTTCATTGTAGTGTGAGATTGGGAGTCTTGGTTGGGTCTCTGATTTCTGAATACTGGAACGTCTTGTCTAGTTCCACAGTCTTTTTCCCTCCTGTGCTTGACTCGGCATATTCTAGTTTTCTAGTCCTCCTTCATCCCAGTCACTGTACACCCAGGAGCCTGATAACTCACTCCTTCTACACAGGGTCCTCTTTGAGGGCTTGGAGACATTAAAACTGCACAGCCAATTAATACCATTAATAATATACATCTTTCATCTAATAAGCACTTACTGAACAATATATCCTGAAGGGTCGAAAAGAAGGTTCCCGCCTCCAGGTAGCACAGGACCCATTATTTCCCAACCACACCATGCATGGTACGTCCATTCAGTGGGGACATACTTAATCACTGGGTATTTTTACCCGAGTGTATCTACAGTTCTTCTCTGGATCTGGAAAACTAGAAAATGTTTCAAGAGATCCTCAGGCTTTGATCCATGCCAACAGGAAGCCATTCCAACCACATGGACGTAGATTGGTCCTTTTCATTATACAGGATGTTTTTTTTCTTTAAGTGCAAAAGTAAATTCAGTTTGGAAAAGAAAAGAGTATCCTTAGTAAAATAAATCACAACAATAAAAAGTAGGCTCTATTGTCCAAAGTGGATCAATGAGAAAGTCTTTTTTAAACTAAAACAGCAAAACTAAATATGTTTCATCACACTCCCCCCGCCCCCATTTCTCCATTTTGCCAACTCATTTCCCCACTTACATGTAAGCATCTCATTTGTTCAGGTGGAGACTTTCTCCATTATCGAAAGATCAAAATGAAGATATTTAAAACTTAACAAAATTCTTTTGTTCTAGAACACTGGCACTCAAACTCAGTGAAAATGGCACCTGAAGAAAATGAGGGCACGATTTCATTTTCTGTAATTTTCACACAGCGCCAGCCCCTTTCTGCCCAGCTTGTCCTCCATTCATCGCAAGGGTCAGGTTCTCAGGCAGCATCCTGAGTCATGCCCGGAGCCACCTGAGCCACCTGTGACTGGGACGGCGTGAGGAAGGAAGGCCGTCACACGGGCTCCTTTCCCTTTGTCTTCAAGCTTCCTGGTGTTGGGCACAAACACTAGGCCATGCCTCAGGGTCTTGGTCGTGGTCTGGTCTTTACACCTACCCTTTGACAACCAGGTGCTAATGATTGTGTATTAATGAAACCAGCCCTTACCTAGCGTCACGTGAGTGTCTCTGCTGTGGTTGCAAGGAGCCTTTCCTTCCATTTTGGTCATGTCCAAGTGGGTGTCAGTTACTTCTCCTCCCCTGTGCTTTGTGAATTAATAGAACGAGTTTCAGGTTTGCACGGTCCTCAGCGCAAATCTGCTGTATCGTAGGAGCCGGTTTCAGACCTCTTCCTCCAGCGCAGGGCCCTGTTCTGTGTTTACAGTCTGTCAGACGAGTTCAGTGTTACAGGTCCTTGGTGCCCAAAGAACTTGTTTCCTGTTTGGTACCAGACCCAAGGTCTCTGAGAAGACAGTGTGGGAAACCACTACCTAAGAGGCCCACGTTGGCTTACCTGTGCACACCCTGGTAATACCCACCTGTATGTGTTCTTTCCCACTCTGCTTTCATATGTGTGACGTATGAGGACTTAGAAAGCTGGAATAATACTCCTGCAAATAATTAAAGTTTCGAACCTGGTTTTTTTTTCTTTCTTTTCTTTAAAGAATCTTGATTTTAAACAAGACTTCTCTTTAAATCTTATTTAAAATTTAAGTCTCAGATCTATCTTCTGGCTACCAAATCAAAAACCCATGGCATAAAACAGGGCAGTATTTCTGTTCTTAATTTTTTAAAAAAGCTTTATGTATACTCTATAAATATAAACGCATAGACAACACTTCCCCTTGAGTTGCACATCCACATATAGCATTGTACATTACAATGAAACTTTGTAACTTAAGGGTACTATATATATAAATGCACATATACCTTTGTAACCTTTATACTGTAAATAAAAAATTGCTTTTAGACTTGTATTTTTTGTTGTTTTCTTTCTAATGTTGAAATAGTTTCAAATCTACAGCAAATTTTCAAACAATACAAAGAACTCCTTTATCTCCACGCAAATTTCCCAGTGTGTTAGCATTTTACTACATTTGGGCCATTACCCTGTCTTGTCTTTTTTTTTTAATTAAAGATTTATTTATTTATTTTGAAAGTCGGAGTAAGAGATCAGATCCACTGTTTCACTCCCCAGATGCCCACAACAGCCAACCCTGGGCCAGGCCACAGCAAGGAGCTTCATCCTTTTGTCCACATGGGTGCAGGGGCCCAAGCACGAGGAGCAGCCAGGACACGAATGTGTCCATGTGCCCATGTGGGATGCCGGCATCGCAGGCAGAGGCTTAACCCGCTACACCACACGCTAGCCCCTGTCTTTTTTTTTTTTTGACAAGATACTCCTAGCATCCATAAATTCTCTAGTGCATACCTACAAAACACAGGAGCACCCCTGTGTTGCCTCCCCAGTCCTCTCAGCAGAAAAATCAACACAGGTCCCATGCTACCATCCCCTCCATAGACCCCCATAGACTGGCGTTTGCTGCCAGTCACCCACAGTTGTCTCCCTTTCCGTTCTGGCCCCGGATTCTGTGCAGCACCAGGTGGCGCTTTGGTTGTCACGTCTCTTCAGTCTGGAGCAGTTCCCCGTCCTCGGGCTGTCGCTCACATGCCTGAGAGTCCCGGGGACCCAGATCTCTTTACAGGATAACCCTCCACGGGGCCCATCCCGTGCCGCCGCGGGACCTGCCCGAGTCCCATCTTGTCCCATCTTGTTGGTAGCAATGCCACAGAAGTGAGCCACGCTCTTCCCAGAGCATCAGCAGGTGCGCAGTGTCGGCCCAGTGCACCATGGTGATGTTAACCTCGATCAGCTCGTCAAGTCAGTGCCTGCCATTTTCCCTTTAGGCTTTGACTAGCGTTTGTGGGGAGATACTCAGTTAAGCCATTGTTCTGTTTTTCATCAAACTACCTCCACCAGCATTATTGTCCAGTAATAACTCGCCTGTATGATCTCCCACGACAGTGGTTGCCAAAGGTGATCAGTATTCCTTCGGCACTGATTAGCTGACATTGTACAACATAGGCAATAGCTTCCCCTTCTCCACTGTTGGGTGTGACTGACTGATTGAGGCTCCTGGATCCCTGTTTTTGTTTGTTTTAAGACATTTATTTGAGGCCGGCGCCGCGGCTCACTAGGCTAATCCTCCACCTGCAGCACCGGCACACCGGGTTCTAGTCCCGGTCGGGGAGCCGGACTCTGTCCCGGTTTCCCCTCTTCCAGGCCAGCTCTCTGCTGTGGCCAGGGAGTGCAGTGGAGGATGGCCCAAGTGCTTGGGCCCTGCACCCCATGGGAGACCAGGATAAGTTCCTGGCTCCTGCCATGGGATCAGCGCAGTGCGCCGGCCGCAGCGGCCATTGGAGGGTGAACCAACGGCAAAGGAAGACCTTTCTCTCTCTCTCTCTCTCTCACTGTCCACTCTGCCTGTCAAAAAAAAAAAAAATTATTTGAAAGATAGAGGCAGAGAGAGAGAGGTCTTCCATCCACTGGTTCACAGATGGCCACAGTGGCTGGAGCTGCGCCGATGCGGAGCCAGGAGCCAGGAGCTTCTTCCAAGATCCTACTTTTTTATTAAAAGTTTTAACCGAATGCTTATTTTGATGTCCAGATTGTTCAGTGGGAACCCCTCTGAACCAGTCACTGTGTCCTTTTGCTGTGTCCCCAGCATTCTTGAGATTTTGGGTTTTTTTTTTCTGGCACAGTAAAGGCTCCTTTGTACTTCCTGCCCCGGCCCCGGAGCAGTGATTGCCACCAAGCTCTGAGAATCTGTAGTGCAGAATGAAGTCTGGGTGCTGAGTGTGCTCGTTACCACGTGCATCCATTTGTATTTCTGTATCGTGTATTTGAAAGCTGTGGGTTCATACGGATGCTTCTAATACATGAAGGCCCTTTCAAACTCCCCTTTCTGTGTTTGTAAATCCCTCATCAAATAGTGAGTGACTTTTTTTGTCTGTTCTACTTAATATGACTGATTTAATTCTGTAATTAATACACAGTTATTCTTAAGTGTTGAAATTTAACTGAAATGTGATCCCTGTTAAACATAAGAGTAGGAATAAGAGAGGGAAGAGATATATAATTTGGGACATGCTCAAGCTGACTTGCCCCAAATGGTAGAGTTAGAAACATACCAGGGGACTCCAATTTAATCCCATCAAGGTGGCATGTACCAATGCCATCTCACTAGTCCAAGTGATCAATTTCAGTTCGCAATTGATCATAATGAAAGGACTAAGAGTCAAAGGGAGCACATAAGCAAGTCTAGTACCTGCTAACACTAACCGATAGAATAAATAAAGGGGAGAGTGATCCAACATGGGAAGTGAGATACTCAGCAGACTCATAGAATGGCAGATGCCCTAAATAGCACTCTGGCCTCAGAATCAGCCCTAAAGGCATTCGGAGCTGGCTGAAAAGCCCATGAGAGTATTTCAGGCATGGAAAGCCAAGACACTCTGGCAAAAGATCTCTGTGAGTGAGATCTCAGTGGAAAGAACAGGTCTTCAAAGAAGGAGGTACCTTTCTCTGAAGGGAGGAGAGAACCTCCACTTTGACTATGACCTTGTCTAAACAAGATAAGAGTCTGGAGAACTCAAGGGGCTTCCATAGCCTTGGAAACTCATGACTGGAGCATAGGGAGATTACTGATGCCATAGACAGGAGTGTCAATTGGTAAAATCAACAACAGGAGTCACTGTGCACTTACTCCTCATGTAGGATCTCTGTCCTTAATGTGCTGTGCATTGAGATTTAATGCTATAACGAGTACTCAAATAATATATTTCACTTTGTGTTTCTATGGGGGTGCAAACTGTTGAAATCTTTACTTAATGCATACTAAACTGATCCTCTGTAAAAAAAAAAAAAAAAAAAGAAAAGAAAAGAAAAGAAACTATCAACTCCCAACTTGACTCTCACTGGGATTAAACATGACAATAGGTCTGATCTGATTTCATCATCATTAAAAAAAATCATCTATTATTTTCACTTTATGTTTCTGTGTGGGAGCAAACTGTTGAAATCCTTACTTAATGTATACTAAGCTGATCTTCTGTATATTAAGATAATCGAAAATGAATCTTGATGTGAATGGAAGGGGAGAGGGAGTGGGAAAGGGGAGGGTTGTGGGTGGGAGGGACGGTATGGGGGGAAGCCATAGTAATCCATAAATCGTACTTTGGAAACGTATATTCATTAAATAAAAGTTAAAAAAAAAAAATAGTGAGTGACCCCACTCCCTTATTCTCAATACGCTGCCTTACTTGCTCATGTAACACCCAAACCAGTGACCCCCCAGCTCCCTCGCACTCCACCCCCGCCCCCACCACGTGTGCGCTCCTGCCGCCCCTGTATGGCACCCCTTCCCTCACACCTCTGCCTCAGACACTGACGTCACTGCAGTGGGCGGGAAGGAGAGGACTAAGGGAGGAAGGGAGCTGGGAGGGGGAGCCGCCTGCGTGTTTCTTACCCCTGGGTTTTTCTCATCAGAGACACTTGTGGGCGAGAGGATCGCCTGCCTCTTGTGCCATTTTGAAGCAGAGTCAGAACTACCCCACTCTTAAAAACTTGCTTGGGGGGCGGCATTGTGGCATAGCAGGTGACGCCGCCATTTGCAATGCCGGCATCCCATAGGGGTGCCAGTTCCTGTCTCGGCTGCTCCACCTCCAATCCTGCTCCCTGCTCGTGGCCTGAGAAAAGCAGCAGAAGGTGGGCCCAAGTGCTCGGGCCTCTACTGCCTACGTAGGAGACCTGGAAGAGGCTCCTGGCTTCTGACTTCAGCCTGGCCCAGCGCTGGCCTTTGTGGCCATTTGGGGAGTGAACCGGTAGATGGAAGATGTCTCTCTCTCTCTCTCTCTCTCTCTCTCTGTCTCTTCCTCTCTGTAATTCTGACTTTCAAATAAGTAAATAAATATTCTTAAAAAAAAAGATTGGGGTGTCAGTATGGCTGGTGTCTTCTGAGGTCTTTCTCCTGGACTTGTAGATGGCCGTCCCCTCGCTGTGTCCTCACCTGGTCTTTCCCGTGTGCATGCGCCCCTGGTATCTATGGGACAGAGAGACTAGAGTAAGGTCTGCTCCAAAAGGTCTCATTTTTAAGTAATCCCATCTTTTTTGACAGGCAGAGTGGACAGTGAGAGAGAGAGACAGAGAGAAAGGTCTTCCTTTGCCGTTGGTTCACCCTCCAATGGCTGCCGTGGCCGGCGCGATGCAGTCGGTGCATCGCACTGATCCGAAGGCAGGAGCCAGGTGCTTTTCCTGGTCTCCCATGGGGTGCAGGGCCCAAGCACCTGGGCCATCCTCCACTGCCCTCCCGGGCCACAGCAGAGAGCTGGCCTGGAAGAGGGGCAACCGGGACAGAATCCGGCGCCCCGACCGGGACTAGAACCCGGTGTGCCGGCGCCACAGGCAGAGGATTAGCCTAGTGAGCCACGGCAACGGCCGGGGTTCTGGGTTTCAACATGGGAATTTCCTCTCCATGACAAGGGCTGGGTTTGAGATTTACTGGCTGTGTTGTCTTTTCTTTGTTCTGCCCACCCAGCCATCTCTGACTTCCAGGTTTCCCACGTGTGTGCGGAGGGGCCCGAGCACTTGAGCCATCTTCTGCTGCTTTTCCCAGTCACATTAACAGGGAGCTGGATCGGAAGTGGAGCAGCTGGATGCAAACTGGCATCTGTACGGGATGCTGGCACTGCAGACAGTGGTTAACCTGGTGCCCCACAGCACAGGCCCCCACACTCCAATCTTGAAGTATTAGCTCCCAGAACCGAGAGAAAAGAAGTTTCTGCTGTTTGAGCCACTTGGTCTGTGGTATTTGTCATGGTAGCCTGAGCAAGCCCACACAGCCACCTCTCATGATAGGATGTGTGTGTGTGTGTGTGTGTGAAGATCTATGTATTTATTTATTTTGACAGGCAGAGT